AGCAGTGCCTGGGAATTTGTTAGAAATGCAATTATCAGGCCTCACCTCAGACCTTCTGAAATTCTGGGGACGGGGCCCAGCAATGTGTATTTTCACAAGTCCTCTAGAGAATATCCTAGAACCACTGGTCTAGTTGAGTTAAATTACTGCTGAAACATTTCATTTCAAGGACCAGGTCAAAAGAATATTATTCGAAGTTGTTTTGTTGAAAACATATCGAATCTGTCTCCTACATGGCTGTGAATTAAGAGTGCTGTAGAAAATTCATAGAATGAAAAGACTGCTAAAAATCCTGAGAGATCATTAGGGGAAATAGTTTCCAAAGGTGTCAGTCATGGAAATCCAAGGTTCTATGAAGCATCTCTAGGGGTTTCCTAAGAGAATGTGTATCCACACATTTGACTGGTGACTGCTCCTCTGACTATCCAGGGTGTGTCTCCAAAAGACAAGAGTTCTGTGTCCGGAGAAATGGTTTTGGAGCTTCAGGACAGAGTCAGCATCTTACTCCTCTTTGTCTCCCCATTACCTTCCAGAGTGCCCAGCTGAGAGCAGATACAAAATAAATACTTATGTTAAATGAATGAATGGATAGAATAGTCATCTCACGGATTCAGGTTCTAAATAACTTCCACTAATATTCTGGGGTCACTTTGAAAAAAAATCCCATTTACGTTGTTTATTCTAGGTATCATTAAAGAATATGGACTGCCTTATTATGTGGCCAGTCTTTTCAGCAGTTAAGGATTTTATCTAATATTAAGAATGCCTCCAACTCCTTTAAGAGAGAGAAAAACTTATATGAAGATAGTACATATTCTGTTTCTTGAAATACCTATACAAGATCTCAGTTACTGCATGGTAACCTTTTCAGTGACTAACTCAGGGTTTCTCAACCTTGGCACTACTGACATCTTGGGCTGGATAATTGTTTGTGATGGGAGCTGTCCCGTACATTGCAGCAGCATCACCATCCTGCCCTCCAAAATGTCTCCAGACACTGCCATGTGTGCCCTGGGGGAGGGATAAAATTGCCCAGTTTGAGAAACACTGTTCTAACCTAACATTAAAAGGAGAGAATCATTTTCCTGCATTTTATTCAAAGTCATGGAAACAGGCTTCAAGAAAGAGCATACGTTCCACATTTCTCTTTAGATCATTGTTGAGGACTTTGGCAGTAACAGCTCTATCTGTTTGAAACGATTTTGTTTACAAATTCTCATTATTTTAGGCCAGTTTTCGCCCTGGAACAACTTTATCTTTGGAGATGCAAATGCGCAAACTCTAAGCATCTCTTTTTACACTTATTACCATCTTCTATACTGATTCAGCACTGAATTCGATTACAAGGCATTTTATTTAATAATTTCTAAATAATACATAGACTGGCTAAAGGAACACTGTGCAAGTCCATAATACAGTGTTAGCACTAACAGAAGAGTTTTTATCTACGTCATTACAATATTTTTAAAAATTATCTAAGCAAAACCTGCACTAAAATAAAATATAATAATAACCTGTATCACATCCTACCTCAAGATTCTGTCCCTGGAAAGAAAGTCATCATTGCTTCTGGAATTTATTTCCTGGTATCTAAAGATTGATTTATGTTTGATATTATCTATTTTCTTACTTTTAGTGTGTGAGGATTTAGCATTATTTCAAGATCCCCTCACTTCTGCTCCTCCATATTCTCAATATAAACATATTGCAATTTTTCCTTAAATCGTGTTTAATGATGAGCTGGCAGTGTCCCCTGACATCCTTGTTGACGTCCCCATGCTAGTGTCTCCTCTCTTATTGTCCATGTGGATATATACTTTAAACATTCCTCTTTTTTTTCCATTTAATGGCATTCTAAGAGGGAGAGGAGATAAAAGCATACAGCTATCACCCATTTAACAGGAAACTAAAGCTATTGTTGAAAACTTTTAAAAGATTACATAAAAGTCTCAAGGTCTTATTGTTAAGAGGCAGAATCCCTATTTCACCCTCGCCTCTTGCATTCAGCATAAATGAAAGCAGGCACTTTTTTTTTTTAAGAAACAAGTGATGTTAACTAGACTTATTGTGGTGATCACTTTGCAATATATACAAATATCCGATCATTATATAGTACACCTAGAACTAATATAATGCTATATGTCAATTATATGTCAATAAAAAAAAATAAATGAAAGGCAGGTTACCAGAAATACTCAATTCTTCCCCTTCTGCACACTTGGGCCACAGTTATCTTTCCTACTTACGGATAAATCTGTTCTTTTCTTTTTTGACTTTGCCGAATTTTCCTTTATCTACCTGAGCCATTGAAACCTGGGAAACATCAGGTCTTGCAACATGAAACTACATGTTCTTGTTCCACGAGAAATGGTTTTGTAATAAATGTCTCCTGTACCAAAAAAAAAGTATAAAATCTGATTTTTAGTTTTTCAGAAAAAATAATTTTTGTACCATCATTAACAACCAAGAAATCAGGACCACCAAGATAACAAAAGCAGAGGATTAAAAAAGATACCCTATTAACATTACAGATGAAAAAGATACTAGGTGAGAAGAAACATGTATATAACAAAGCCCACAATTTGGAAATTGTGGGAATCAAAGTCAAGCAGTTAATTACTAACAAAGACAGTAAAAGTGCCTCTTTTGTCTTTCACGGTGAATGCACAATTAGCACTTAATACTAAGACTGGGGAATAAACCATCTATAATCTACTGAAAAAGACCATCTGCTTCTATAAATTTTGTTCTTATACACTTGCCAAAAGAAGAGAGCATATTAACAAAATAATGGGCCCTGCACTGTTAATTGCTAGGTTGTTTGCAGTTGTGCTGTTGCTATTAGAATTTAATAAGCCATTCCTTCTGCTAAATTAATAAGCAGGCAAGATTATGTAATAGCTGCTTTCAGCCGCTAATTATTTTTCCCATAATTCCTTTCCCTCTCTACCCCTAACCCCCACCTTTTCTTGGCTAGGAACACCAGAGACTGCCAATATGTCATCAGCAAGTCTCCTATCCTCATCTTCAGAACCACAGACCAACATTAGGAACATAACCAATGAGTTTAAACTTGAAGGTCGTTATCTCAGGAAGCTTGAGGATATATGTATTTTGTACAGAATAAGAGAAAAGCAGCATTTGGTTCCTGAGGGCGAGTTTTCATTGCACAGTATTAGATCTTTGAACTGGCTAAAGGCATCTGTTTTGTGTAATAAGGGAGAAAGGGGACATGAACATGTACCTTTGGGGCATGATCGGTCAGGCAGCAGAGAGAAATTTGAACAGGGGACCTAAAGACCTACAGAGAGTCAGCTCTGTGCTTTGTGCCAACCATTTCTTTAATATTCCAGTATACATTAATCATACATTAGTAGGAGATTTTTCAACCAGCAAAGTAGTGCTTAAAAGGAGAGGTATTATACAATTTTGTCAAATAAGGGCATTAAAAAATGCCCCGAAATCCCTATTATATACTCTCTTAGTTTTATAGACATTTTAACACACACAAAAAGAACATACTCTCTAATAAAGAATTCGTTTAAAATAAATAAATTTAGCTTCATGAAAAACTTAGCATTTCTTTTCACTTTGGGCCATGAAAAAAATTCTGGCAACTACGTTTGGGAACCTCTGCAAAAAGGGCATAGCTCAACAAAAACAATTTTCCAGATTCCTTTGTAAGAACCTAGGTGACTCGGGTAATGAATAGCATTCGACATGAGAAACCCGTGGCTGTTCAAGCAAGGTCACTTAATCCCGTGGGGCTCCCCTTTCCTCATCTGTAAAAGATGAGTCTTACTAGATGATTCATCCATTCTCTCATTCAAAAAAATATGGACATACATTATGTACCGGGCACAATGCTCAGCACTACGGCTCTTAACAAACCTATCATTTTATAGTCCTTATCAGTCAACTCACATTTATTGTTAGATGCCAGGCAGTGAACTAGGATGCGATGCAAAATGAATAAAATTCAAGATGTGCTAAATAGAGGCTAACGGGCAAGTGGGGATGCAAAATAAATAAGATTCAAGATGTGCTATATACAGGCTAACGGACAAGTGGGTGAAAGAGGGATTCGTTCTTACAGGGTTTGAGGATGAGGCTTCATAGGAGATGTGACATTTGAGAGGAAGGGCATGTCAGGCAGAGCAAGTCGTCAAGGCTAAACTGGAACCCAGGCAGCTTGGGGGCGGGAGCCGGGGAGGCGGCGGCTCCGCGTGAAGGAAGCGGAATATGGAAGATGAGGTGCTGTCTGGGTTTCTCAGCAGAGAACGGACAGTAACTCATCAGGTCCGCAGCACTGAGGATGGGAGAGGCTAGCGCAAAAAGAAACACTCGCACAGCTTGGGGCGAAATGTGTCTAGGGCTGTAGCAGTGCAATGGGAAGGAGGGGCCGGATTCCGGACAGTTTTGAAGCAGAATAATTGCAAACGACCCTCTGAACACCTGCACGAGCTCCACGAAAAGAGGTGACTTGTTTTCCCCAAGTTGCAGCACCCCCTCTCTCCCCTCACGATCATCACCGGCCGTCACACCTCCCCGTCCCACCCTCTTGGGGCACGGAAAGTAATCGGAGCTCGAACTTGGCTCTTCGCGGTGCAGACCCTCCCTGCCCCGCACAGCGGGGTCGACAAAGGGCACCGCGGAACGCTGTCCTCGCGCACTGAATAGGGGGAACAGACAACCGCGCGAGTCCCGAACGCACACGCAGGAGCGCGCAGGCGCGCCAGCCCCGGCAGAAGCCGCTTCCGGGTCACGTGGCCTGGCTTCCGGTTCGCACCACCCCTCTCGGTAGAGACGCAGCCAATGAGCTTCCTTTGACTGTGCGGTCGCCTGCGCCGCCTCCGGTGCCGTTGGCGACGGCCGAGCTGCTTCCCGCGCGTCGCCCAGCCCGCCCCTCCGCTCGCCGCAGCCGCGGCTCCTCCCTCGTCCGGCCCCCGGGGCGGGGTCTGTCGGCTCGCCCTCCCCTCCGCGCCTAAGCCTTCCCTCCGCCGACCGAGTCCCCTCCCCACAGCAACACGGCTTCCCTTCCTCAGCTCAGCGACAGGGGCTTCCCCTCAGCCGCCGCCGCCGCCGCCGCCGCCGCCGCCGGCCGAGCCCCGCCGCGCCCGCGGCCCGCGGCCGCCGTAAGTCCCGGGGGACGAGCCGGGGCGCCGAGGACGGGGATGGGGGCGGGAGGGTTGGGCGCGCCCCCCGCCGCCCCGCGCGCGCCCCGACGACCCCACCCCGCGCTTGCCCCGCCACCGGGGCGCTGCGCCCGGCAACTCACTTCTCTCTGCGTCTGCTGCCCTCTTCCCACGCCGCGCCGCGCCCCGGGATGCGGGGGCCAGTCCCGGACGCCGCGGCGGCCCCGCGGCACCTGTGGTTCGGGAATCGCCTCAAGTTTTGCGGGGCATTTTTGGGAGGGGCCCGCGGCTGGGGGCGGCGGCGGCCGAGGACCCTTGGCGCCCCCTGCGCGGCGGCGGATGCTATTGTCTGCCCCGCTCCTTGCCTGTCACCTCGCCCGGGCTCGGTCAGTGATGGAGTGCGGCCCCGTGGGGCGGCGGGGAGGCAGCGGAGACGGCCGGACCGAGGAACGCTGGCCCCGAGCCCGCCCCACGGCCGAACCCATTGTTTTTAATAGCAATCTCGAGGAATTGAGGTGCCCTGTGATTTGCGGCACAGTCAAAGCATTGGTTGTTAATAAGAGGGAATACTTGTGCCTTGCAACCGGGTGTTGTCCCATGTTAGCACATAATGTATTTCAAAGAGACTGAATTATTTATTTGTTCCATCAAGTGGTAGAGAGGGAATACAAGACCCTGCTACCGACAGCGTTGAGCCCATACTCCTTTCGAAAGCAAACCTCCCACCTCTCCTGGTCCCCGAGATCCTGGAATACGGGTCTGTTATTTTCCAAGTTCTGGTAACGGGTTTGCATTAAACGTTGTCCAGTTGATGCTTTACTTCCTGTCCCCTTCGAATGCCGCTTCTTAACAGGACTTGTATGGGAGGCACTTTGATGTCACGAGTATCGTTCGTTTATTTTGTGCCAGTGAAGCGTTTTAAGTGAGTTGTAATAAGCCAGTTTTAACTTTGATAAAGTTAAATTGCCGCATCATATATTTCTAAATATCTTGATGATGCCTGTCTGGATTAGTACAAAAAGCAACAATAATTTCTTAGCGAAATTCAGGGCCCATTCTATTCTAAATTGGTTGTGTAAATTCCCCCACCCCATGTTTAAATTCAAGATGGTGTGGTGAATATTAAGAATCAGGCTGGAATCTTCCTTGCAGTAACACTGTTAAAGGAGCTTACAATAGTTAAAAAAATACTTGTCTGAATTCTGCCTTTAAATTACCTTTGTAGAAACGATGCTTATCTGTTTGCAGTTGAGAAGACCAGTTGAATTTACAAGAAGCTTTCCTTAAAAATTAAATATGTAGACTAATAACAGATTTGCAGATTCCAGATAAATATATACAAAATAGTTTAAGTGTAATGTACACTAGAATTCAGCATCCACTCCATCTGTCGGTGCTGTTTGTTGTTGTTTTAAGTGAAGTATTTCCCGTAATGTCTCTGCATGTGTTTAACTCTTGGCTTTTTAGAGGTTTCTGTTCTCTTTCATAATACTACATTAACTCATTTATTGTGTGCGTATTTATGTTGGAATTTTTAAAAAGATGAGATACTTAAAAGTCAAGCTTTCATTAAGAAAAATGCATTTATGGGATTTTTTTTTTGGCTATTATCTTAGATCTTTTGTTTTGCTTAAAATATGTGAGCATAAACTGAAGAGAGCATTCTGTAAGTGATAGCCGTCTGTCTACAAGCAATTCAAACTGGAACTAGAACAGCCTCAGGGGGAAGAATAGTAGGTCTCCTGCTTCTTTTAAATCTACCTAAACCAGTTGATGTCAGCAATTCTCTTGATGCATATAGAGAGTGTGGAATGTATCGCATAGGCAGACAATAGTTTCTTAAATTGCAAGAGTTATCTTTCTTTTTCCTCAAAATTTCCACTCCAGCTTATTACCTGTTTTTCTTTTTTTCCACACACTGCTTTCCAAACTTACGAGGAACAGGGTGGAGCAGAGAGATTGCATCTGGTGGGAAGATCTTTCTACAAGAATTTCCTGCTATTTTAACTGGCATAGAAATATTGATGGCTACTAATCGTTTGTCCCCCATTTGTCGCCCTGCCCCCCAAAGTTTCTCTATGAAACATGTCATCTTAATCTTAACTTTATTGAATCAAAGTATTGCATGTAATCTTGGTTCTATTTATCTTAACAGATGCAGTTTATGTTGCTTTTTAGTCGTCAGGGAAAGCTTCGACTGCAGAAATGGTATGTCCCACTGTCAGACAAAGAGAAGAAAAAGATCACAAGAGAACTTGTTCAAACCGTCTTAGCACGGAAACCTAAAATGTGCAGCTTTCTTGAGTGGCGAGATCTGAAGATTGTTTACAAAAGGTATAATTTTTATTTATCAGAAGGGTGAAATAGAATCAAATGTTCAGTTATTTATAATGTGGAAATTGCAGACTTTTGAGAGCTGACATTTATAAATAATAAAGATTTAGATGAAAAAGGTTTAAATTAAAGCTTTATTTTTTTAAAAACTGCGGTTCTGATTGATTACCCAGACTAAAATGATAATGTCAAGGAAGTCATTTTAAAACTAATTATATAATTAAAGGCATAAATGATTATTCATGCTTAATCATCTTTTCAGAAAAATTCAATGAATTAATTTCTTTGCAGGGGAAAATAGGGTCAATATTTTAAATTGTGTGAGTAACTCTCAGAATTTAGACAAGGATTTCCCCCCCACTTCTCCCCGAAAATCAATAAAGTAATGACTGATAATTGACATGCCTTTTATCTGACTTAGAGTCTTACTCACTTATAAACACCTTGGATACATAGACCATTTCAGCCATATATATATATGTTTAAAAACTTTGTGTTTTTACAGGATCTCTTCATCAGTAGTCTTTATTAATTTGAAGTACGCTTGTTGCTGTGGTGGAGGTGTGATTAGATCTGATAGATAATTTTGCCAAGAGTAGATTTTTAAATTTTTGATGTTGCAAAATGACTCATAGATTGGCTTTGAACACTAAACTTTCTTTTTAAAATGCTATACATCTTTATTAACATCTGAAACTCTTTTAATACCTTAAAATAAATTTCTCAGTATTGTTCTAATCAGGTTAAAAGAAATATAACTACTTTGTTTTTCTCCATTTCTGTTCCCTTATGAATAATTTACTGTATTTAAGAGAGTTTCTGCATATAAAAAAATTCTCTTCTATGGGGGATGTGCAGGGAACTAACAGTGCAGGCTGCAAAGAGGGTTGAAGTGAAGTCTGGGTTTTGTCTCAGCTTTCCTTTATTCCACTCCAAGTGTGGATAGGTTTGTTGTTGTTGGGGAAATGGCAGAGGAAGTAATGGAGATTATAAGGACAGCGAGAATTTTTTAAAAACCATGGACTCCTCTTTACAATAGAATGAATTTCGTCATCTTTGGGTGATTTTGTATCCAGTGTTTGGTTTGGTACTTGTTGAGAAAAGTCATAGCATTTTAGAGATGAGAGATGTCTTAGAATAATCTACTCGAGTGATTTTTTAAAAAAGCTTTTTCCCCCAGGGATAGAAGCTTAAAAGAAACCAGTGGAAGTGGAGGTGCTCTTGTAAAATCAGGGCTGGGATCCTGTACCCTTGCTCACTTGGCCTCTACTCTCTGCAGAGGAGACGGTTCCTGAGATTGAAAACTGCTAGTGTTGATCATGTTCAGTTTTGTAAAAACTAGAATTGGGGAGAAGTGACTTGTCCAAGGTCATATACCAGTTAGTGACATAGGGGCTAGAACGCAAATCTTCTTTTTTTTTTCCTTTTTTAAGATTTTATTTTTTTCCTTTTTCTCCCCAAAGCCCCCCGGTACATAGTTGTATATTCTTTGTTGTGGATCCTTCTAGTTGTGGCATGTGGGACGCTGCCTCAGCGTGGTTTGATGAGCAGTGCTATGTCCGCGCCCAGGATTCGAACCAACGAAACACTGGGCCACCTGCAGCAGAGCGCGGGAACTTAACCACTGGGCCACGGGGCCAGCCCCAGAACTCAAATCTTAAGTTTGAGGCAAAGATTTGAAACAGGGATGAAAAAAGCAGATTTGCATTTCTTAAAAGATCATGTAATTGGAGAATGGATGGGGGGAGGGCTGAGACTGGCACCTGAGGGATCTGTTAGGAGATTGCTTTATAATGGAGTCCTAAAGGAAGACCCCTGCTGTGGGCTCAGTAGGTGGAAAGGAGAGCTGTTGCTGAGGCAAGTTAGTTCTAAGACTTACTCCCTGCTAGAAGAGGGGAGGGCACTGAAAGGAGTGATTCTTCATTGCTGGGTCAGCTGACAGGGTAAAGGGTGAGCTAATAGACAGGTTGACTTTGAGGTGCCTAGTTTTCTCGGAGTGGGCGTAGGCATGGAAAATTAGACATAAAGTGTTAGATCACCAACATTCAAGCGGCAGGCAGTGGGGGAGGCGGAAGTGTAGGGTCAGTAACATTGGGGAAGGGGAGAGAGTTTCGAAAATAAGGTTACCAGTGCCAGATGTTGCATAAAGTTCCATTAAAGTGAAGAAGGAATCAGATTTTACAGTAAGCGTTTCATAAAATGCCCTTTGTCAGAACATTTTCAGTGGAATAGTAGAGACAGAACTCTCAAAGAAATGGGGCAAAGTGTGAAGCGGTGGAGAGATTTAAACAGCAAATGTAGGCTATTTGGGGAGTTTTGCTATGAAGGACTGAAGAGGTGGTAACCACCCATAGACAGAGGAGTGGGGACAGGGTTAAAAAAAAAGGTGCGAGAGACTTAAGCTTATTTCTAGATAGGAGAAGGAGTCCCCCGTGTGGAGGAGGAAAATACCAGCAAAAGAATCAGTCCCGTGAATTGAGATTCCTGCACTGAAGGAAAAGGCCTGTTAAAGGGAAGAAAAGAAAGCCCTAGTTTGGTGGTCCTGCATGCAGCATTCAGCCCACCCATGTTGGGCCACCGCTTTTTCTTTTAAAGGCTGTAAAGGGTAATCTGACCTGACTCGTAACTTGCATCAAGCTCCTGTAAATAAAAGGTGCACTTCAAAAAAGACAGCTTTATTGAGAGAAAATTCACATACAAAAGTTAGAATTTATAATCAGTTTTCCTATGCATCTCCCCATTTCATACTTCATCTGTTGTACTTAAGGACGTATATTTTGTTGATATAGACAGGTGATCTATTTCTCTAGTCTAGCTGAAAGGGAAGACCTTCTAAGCAAAGAATTGCTGCTTAGCTCCTGAGAAATTCTGAAGTAGCGCTTTTGCTGTTCACACCAGCAAGTGATGTTTGTCTTCTTTCCTCAGGTTTTCTTATCTACATTCTCCATCCTGAGCATTTCAAATAATGAGAGGTGGGAGTAGGGAGTAAGGATAATACAGATGAAAAAACAGACTGAAAATCTGGGACTTGAGTTCTGTTCTGTGCCATTAGCTAGTTTTGTGAGTTTGAACAAGTCATTTTGCCTTTGTTTCCTCATCTCTATAATAAATGCTCTTGAAGATCTCTTGAAGACAAAACTACGCTTTTTTGATTCCTGTTTCGTGCAGCATGTTATGGAAGAGGCACTGGATTAAAGTTTTAAAATTAATTTAAAAACACATATATCTCCAAATACTAGCTTGAGAATTTGTCGAAGAGTGCTGTATTGATTTTCTTTACTAACAAAGGAATTTGTAATGACATACCAGTGGGGATTGAGAACAGATTCGTTCCATTCACCCACAGTCAGCTGATATTTAGCTGACTGCGGGGAAGTCATGTGTTCTGAATGTAAGAATAGGCACTTTCAGATGTTCTCTGAGTGCCAGTAATTAGAGTAAGCCTTAATCCACTCTGCTAAAAATAACCAAACATACCTTTCTTCTTACTAGTCTATTATTAATTTTACTTCAGATTTAGACTTACAAATATGCACTAAGAGAACAAAATGAACTCATTATTGAATTTTAAAAACCATTTGGTTCTAAAAATAAGGAGTACACTTCAGGTTCTCTTGGTAATCTTTTACTAAATCACTATGACAATTTTTTGTCTCTCCCTCTTTAAGAGCTTTGAAGCTCTTAAAATATTGCTTTGAATATGTTTTAATTTTTGCCAGGTGCAGGATTACTTTATTTAATACAGTTCCTGGCTCTAGTTTTTAATATAAAGCTTGGGCTTTGGAGTCAAATTGCTGTTCCTGGGGAGGTTACTCAATTAAGCTTGGGTCTCCTATAGATGTAAGTAATAACCCTGTCTCTCTGGAAGGGTTGTTGTGAGGGTTAAAATGGTAAAATATGCAAAGCCTTAGCTAACGTTTAATGCCTCACTCAGAGTGAGGGCTCAGTGAATGTTACCCGTTATTATGCTTGGTTCTTTGTTCCCTAAGCTTCCTGGAAAGAGGTGCCTTCTTATAATCCTGACAACTAGATGTTCACCTGCAGGAAGAATTCATTTAATTTGATGCCTCTTTTTCCATTCTGAGTGGAAGCAAACATTTAGATAGTGTTGCAGGGTTTTTTTTTTTTGATATTACTGGTTGGTGCTTAGATAACATCAGTCCTGGTGATGTTTAAATTAATATTTATGAATGATTCATATAAATTAGGACCTTTGACAGTGTTTAAGTGCTGTTTATTTGTAAGTAAAGAGGCAGTGCTTGTGGACGAGGAGCTAGGATGGCGCAAGCATTAGATTGCTTAACAGTAGCATTGAAATCAAGAGTGAAAGGAGTTTTACCCGAAACTGTTATTAGTAAATTCTTTCTAGTGGAATTATTTAGCACTCTATTCATGTCAGCTAGTCATGTCTGGATTTTATCTACCATTTTTAATGTCAGTCCCTTTACTCTTTAGTTTTCTTAATTTAGGGAATCTTATGTGTCGTTTGTGTCATTTTCCCCAAATTGAAAATTCTGTTTGGTGAGCATGGGTTAGGGAGGATGGAGAGTTGAAATATCCCATTGCCTTTTAAACAGATAAACAGAAACATAGGGTCGTGCTGGGATAGAGAGGAAGCACTTTTGTTAAAGCTGGAAGTGGTGCCCTGTTAAGTGCTTCATGATAATGAATGAATGCGTTCAAACACCTCCTCTCAAAGACTGCAGGAGACCCACCATTTTAAATAACTTGCTGAATGTGGAGAAGTCAGGTAGAATGGACATGGCAAAAGTCAGGCTGTGTACGACAAGGAAGTCGGTGTGGTAGATGGAAAAAGGCCTGGAGTTAAAATCCGAAAATCAGATTTCTTGTCCTAGTACAACCACTTGGCAGACCCTGTACTCGTGGGCCTTGGTTTTTTTTTCTTTTATAATCAAGGATGATGGTGCCTGCTGTTGGAAAGATCAAATAAGATGAAATGTTTTTTATAATATTGAAATTAATAGAGTGTTATGTAAGTACTAGTTATTCGCATACTGAAGAGCAGGAATTCATTGAATTCCGGAACTCAGACTGTGTGTGTGCTTGTGTATTATTTTACGTTAATACTATGAGCAGTAATTGCCCATTGTGTTTTCTAAAAATCACTTAAATGCTCTTCAGTGAAAATTACAATCTCAACTGAGACTTGTTTAGAATGTCTTGGGTTTTTATTTTGTTTCTTTTCGAAAGCCTTAAATACACTTTAACCTATTTGAAAATGCTCTTTTAATCCTCCTCAAAGGACTTGGTCATTGTTTGCTTTGCCTTAGGGTGTATATTAATAAGTTTTGGCTTCTTTGGGTCAAGTATAACCTGGGCCCATGTGCTGGAATCCTAATTTGGAGGAGCATATGAGTTTTCCAGCCTTATTCCTTCTTCAAGGATAAATAACCTAAGCTTCAATTCAGTAGTGTAGAACTTGGAAAATTTGAGGACAGTTTCAGTTTCCCCTGTTCTCTTTCTCTACATTCTGTAATAATTTGGAACAATTGTTCTTTTCTAGGGGGTTATTCCACAATCCTAGAAATCTCCTTTTTAAAAACAATTCTATGCTGTTAGAAGTCAACATGGTAGTTACCCTTAGAGGTGGGAGGTTGTGACCTAGAGAGGCTGGGAGAGGGGCTTCAGGGGTTCAGTAATAATTCTCTTTCTTGATCTGGGCACTGGTACATGGGTGGGTTCACTTTGAAAACTAATTGAGTTATATATTTATGACTTGTGTTCTTCTCTGTGTGTATATTACACTTCACTAAAACGTTCCAGAACGTCAGCTTCACATTGACAAGATCTTCAATAAGTCTGTCAAATAGAGAGTTTGCTTTCATCTTGTTTACTTGTAGTGTGAATTAGTCATGCAGTGCATTTTGTTTTAATTAAGTAAACTTGAGAACAACCTGGGTTAGCCATGTTTTAGAATATTCATAGAAAGAAGCCTGAAAGGAAGAAGAGCAAAATAAGTTACTCTTTCTAGATTTAGTGTGATTGAGTGATTATTTTGTTTTCTTTTTTACTTGCCTGTACTTTTCAGAATTTCTCTTATATGCATTTGTTACTTTTGTAGTCTAGGAGAAAATATGTATTGTTGTAAAAGAGGAAATAAACTATATAAGCTTGGGATCTTTTGCAATAGGATGTGAAAATATATTTAGAAAACATGATTATAGGGAAAAATTTTTTCTGCATTTGTTTTTTGTTACAGATATGCTAGTCTGTATTTTTGCTGTGCTATTGAGGATCAGGACAATGAACTAATTACCCTGGAAATAATTCATCGTTATGTGGAATTACTTGACAAGTATTTTGGCAGTGTGAGTAGTATTTTGTTTTAGGAAATTGAATGCCATTGTATTTTTTTCTTTAATCTTTTCTGTAACAAGTTTATTATTTGATTGTCTTGAGGATTCTGACTATTTAAAAGTAACTGTGGGAAATGGAAGGAATGACTATTTCTTGTCAGTGTGCCTAGTCAGTTAACTGCCAGAATTGCTTGACCCCACAGACCTACTCATTTAATTATGGTGGTGAGAATGAGGTTTAAAATAGTGAAATAGAAAGGAGTCCAACTGCAAAGATTAATATTCTGGAAGTGCTTAGTGTAGAATTTAGGTTTGGTTAGCAGTTATAATCACATTACCCAGGAAAAATATATATTTAAAAAGATGAGTTTTCATGAGTAGAAAATTTTGAAGTTGCTCCTGTTGGGAGCTTGCAGTCAGATCTTACTTAGCTTATAGGCATTATGTTTTCAAGTACTTGAGATGGGAAAATTAAGCTGACTAAATCAATGATGCTTAGTTAGCAAGATTGCCATTTTTAGAAAGAATTAAGAATGATTCACTCTGATCAGATTTTATTCACTATGTAATAGTGGATAAGTATCTTTTGCTTTCTTCAGTTTTAACATTATGTTTTTTGCTTTTCAGGTGTGTGAACTTGATATCATCTTTAATTTTGAGAAGGCTTATTTTATTTTGGATGAGTTTCTTTTGGGAGGGGAGGTTCAGGAAACATCCAAGAAAAATGTCCTTAAAGCAATTGAGCAAGCTGATCTACTGCAGGAGGTAAGCTTCTCAGAGTTCTCTTGACTAGACACTAGCATGTTTTGCTCTTGCTAGGAAAGTCTCAGTCATCTTCCCTCATTCTTACAGTTTCAGAAATACTCTGAAGCATGCTTGGCATGGAGTGTCCCTGTGCAGTGTATTGATTGGAATATGTGTCAGTCACATCAACTCAGTTGTCTATAGATGGGTCGTTTACTTTGGGCATAGTCTGTTGTATTGATGGCCCCTTTTTGGACCCCAAAACACTAGAGTCTAAACCTTTAGAGGACAGACTACTTTAAGAAGGGAAAAGATTCATTAAAAGTAATAGTAATTTGAGAACTCTCCACCCATTGTTCTGAATTACTTAAGATAACCCCTTTTCTCTTTAATGTGGATAATCAGGAGTTGACTGTGAGATTATGGCATTTTCATTCCAAATTGGTCCATATTTTCACCTTGTGTCCATTAAGTGCAAATGTAGCCAAGAAAATGATAGTGTTATAATTACACTTTGTGTAGAACCCTCTGGTTTGTGTTAGCAAAACTAACTAAAAAAGAATTTGTGCTTCTCTGCTCTTCTTGAATAACAAACCATGTTGTCAAATGACCGCATTCTTGTCTTGCCTGGATATCACCACAACCATTAATAAACCCCCTTTCTTTTCTAATTTCCTCAGTTGTCCTGGGTTAATCGTATATTTAATGCTTCTGTACCTTCGATTTCTGAAGTTTAAAGTTTCATAAATAAGGCTACCTTTTCCTAAAAACTTGATACCTTAGTTTAGGTACCAAGTTGAATTATGCTTTGGCCATAATTGTGGTTTTAATCAAATAGAAAGTTTATAGCATGAGGAGAAGGGGCTAATCAATATAAAAAATGTAGTGTGTTTTCATTAAGGTAATTGTCTTTTTTTTAATTATTAAAGGAGGCTTTAAATCCAATTTTTTAGCATTTCTGTTATAACAGAAATGAGAACTAAGGGAAGAAGAGTAAATCTCTTTTTCTCCATTATAACTTTGTAACCATTGGCCTCTATAGGGAGGGGGGGAGCTCTCGGTAATCCATCTGCATCAGTCACTGACTGAGTCAGTTGTGGGGATTGCTCGAAGTTGGGATGGCATCATCTGGAACATACATAGATTAAATATGAGACGATGCATTGTACATTTAATGATCTTGAGTTACCAAAACAGTGGTTAAGGTGCCTACAGAAGTGTAGTGTTTTGTTGGCAGCCCTGGTGTTCAGTAGTGAAATGAGTACAGCCCCTTTTCTGTATGTATATAGTTTGCCACGGTTGTTTATTAATTGATTGCAAATATGTCATTGAGGAGTTTTTTTTTAACATCAGATGTGCTGACTACAAGCTCATCTATTGTTGTAAAATTGGTTTTAAAGTTAGCACTAACTTATTTTGCTGTTCACTGATCAGACTTTTCTAAAAATTTGGTTAAAACCAGGATCAGGAATTGGGAATTTTTCATATTTGTCTCTTCCCTTAATCACTTTTATATTTCATTATTATGGAACTATATATTCTGTTCTATCACTTCCTGGTATCTCCTCCAAGTTCTTCATTCATGTCTTGATTAATTACATTTGCCTTAAAACATTTCTAAAGTTGCTGAAGTTCAACTTTTCATTTTAACATGTTTTTTCTAGAGAGTACTGTTTAGGGCACTGATAGCTCCTTGTTTCTTGATTGTTTTTTGAACTCTACTGGGAAATTGCTATAGACTTTACAATATGACCAATATGCTGTTTACTTATAGCATGTAATGAGTATTTAATGTTTAATGTACTAAAGGATAAAAAAAGTTATTACGGGTCCGTGTTTATTTATGTGCATATCTCCCCTGTTAAAGCATTAAATAGTGTCTCCCTTTATGAAATAGTATTTTTATATCTTTAACTGGGGACAGTAGAATGGAGAGAGAAGCATAGGATGTCTATGGTCCCCTGTAAAGTTCTCCTTACCCTGTCTCAGCCTAGTTTAAAAAAAAAAAGTTGACTACTGTTATAATTCCTGTCTTTAGAAGAGAGCTTTCGCCCTATTTCTCTTCTGTGACTACCTTTACATTGTTTTGTACATAAACCAAAGACGTAGTAGTACATTAAGACATTTTCTACTCAGTGGACTAAGTGAACCATTTTTCTTAATTTATCCATTCAGGTCTTGAGGAGGCAGAAGGTGGCTGGTCCATTCTGAATTTAGAGTGAGTTATAATACATTGCAGGTTAAGGTCTTTAGGAAGCCAAGCTAAAATCTGTATGGGGCACTAAGGCTTCAGGTTATTCTGTTCAGGTTAACGTGTTATTCGGGTTATTCACCAACATACTATCACAAGAAATCTGGGGATGACAAGATGCTTGTTTCCTAAAATAGATTCATTTATACGTTGATACATGATACATATTTACATTTCCTGGAGAGTATTTGAATGTTAGGTTCATAAAATAAATGGTGGAATAGGATGAGAAAAAGCATTCTACAAACTGCTAAAAAAGTTTTTGTCTGGGCACCATGACAACAAAAAGGAACCATGATGATAGCTAATGCTTATTGAGCAGTTAGATGTGAGATATCCTATGGTAACCCTCAGGACGCCCTGAGAAAATGGCATGAGAACCTTTCTAACAAGTGAAGTAGAGGCTTAGTGAGGTTCCAGTGACTGGTCCTAGGTAGCAGCTGGCAAAACCAGGATTCCAAATCCAGATCTGCTAGACTCCAGAGCAGTGGGAAATTTTAACCACTGTGCTCCTCCCCACCCCGACATTCGTGTACTGGCTTGGTATGTATATTTTAAATTTTAAACATTCTGTTTTAGATACCAACTTCTTTGTTTCTCAGTAATACAGTAAAGAAATTCATAATTCTCCTGGAGGTTTTTCTGTATTGAGCAGAGTAGAATTTCCTAACACTGATGCCATCTTTTACTTTTTAGACTAGACATTTTCATTGTTCAAATTATCAATAGTTGGAACTTTTAAAATGGTTATATAGGTATAAATGATATTTCTCAAATAATTTCTTATTGGATTTATCAAAACATGGAGATCTATAGTAGCATTTTTTGGTCTTATAATTTAGGGTATAGTATTCACTTAGTCTATGTCATGAAATGATTTTGCTTCCAAAATTGTAAGTATAGCTGTAAAGACACTTATCTAAATGGAGCCTTAAATTTGTAAAAGTCCTAATTGATTGGCTTTAATCTAGTTTTTCGTGTATTGTGATTTTTCTATCTGGTGTCAGTTCTTCTGCTTGAGTCGATTAATTCTAAACACCAATGACTTTGAATTTATAATGAAAATGTCTGTTGGCTGAAAGATAGTGCAGACCACAAAATAATTTTGATTTTAGTCCCTTTTTTTGTGTGAAATTACATTTCTATCTTTATGAATGTTTATTTTCTTCAGAAAAATTTCTTTAAAATTTCCCTTTTACCCAATTTGTATAAACATCATGTAGTTTGTTAAGGTAGTCCTTCATTTTACAGGCAAATAAGGCAGACAGTCAGTGGATAAAGTAGATTTTCTATTAGCGTATTATAGTCAGTAATGAGAATATAGCATAAATGTGTGTTCAAATAATAACGGCTAAAATATCAGACATTGTGATTACATAATAAAGATATCTTTTTTATGTTAATCACTTGGTAAAAAAAGGATTCAGTTTTGACTTTTCTAGACTGAACTCTATGTTTATTCCTTTTGGTATTCTGTTGTATGAATACAGAATTTAGGTTATGGTATTCACTTAGTCTGTGTCATAATTTGGGGGTAAAGCCCAGAGAAATTGGTCCATTATCCAATTTTTAATGTTTGACTATTGGAATTTAAAACATCTTTTCTTAACATGCCACTGGTACTTAACTTGATTCTTAAATTATTAAGGTGCAACTTGCTGCGATTACTGAATTGAATTCTTTGCAATACTTGGAACATTTCCCCCAACCCCCACCAATTAAATACCTATTTTAAGCTAGAGTTTTTTGGGGGGAAGGCTGCAGGGCAGTGGTATAGTTGGATTTATTTTATAAACATAATGACAGGAAATATAGAGTGCATTTTCTCTGCAAAGTCAGGCACTTACCAGTTTTTCTCTGCTCCTTAATTTTATAGAGCCAGAATGAAGAATGGGGAGGTTTGTCTGAGGATATCTTATGATAAAGAGCAGTCTAAGGCTTTAGTCCCTTTGACCCCCAACTTATTTATTGGTAACTACTAAATTTACCATTTTTTGTGGCATGGATAAAATGGGGTGTTATGCAAAGACTGTTGCACGTGAGATGATTTCAAGTCCTTGCTTGATCCGTGCAGATCAACTGGTTAAATACTGGGCTTTGGGCTTTAACCCTCAGCGGTAGATGCATGATGACACGTGTTGATCAGCGCTTTGAGATGTGTCAACCTTTCTTTTTTATACTAACAGCATCATTTTGATATTTGTGGGGGTTTTCCTTTTGAGCTTTGTTTGCTGTTGGTATTGTTTCTCACTAAAGTAATCTGAGAAATAAAAAATAAGTGAGGTACCAAAAGCAAGCATTACACTCATGAATTTGCTTCTACTTTGAGCTGATCCACTTTGTGAATAGATTTCCTGGATTTGCAGTTGTTACTCTGCCTCGTCTAGAAACTGGTGCTCTATGGAGAATTAGTGCTGCTGAAATTGATTTGTTTTAGTGCTGGGCCTGCATGATATATCTTAGTACTCTGCAACATTTTGTGGAAATAAAATTAATAAATCTGTTGGACGGCATAAAAATGGAAAGGTAAGAATCTTAGGAGAAAAAATGACTTCTTTAAAAAATAATCGTTTGTAAAAAAATTATTTTAAGTAAATAAGTACTTAAAGTATTTAATAACATTATGCCTTTTAATGTAAAATTTTGGGGTTTTTTTAAATTAAAATCTTGCTAATTAAGAATATTTTGGAATACTAGTCAAACTCAAGAATATCTTACATTGTTTTAAAACAGTTAGATGCTTTCAAATATATACAATAGTACCATTTAACAGCAAAAAGCGTTTTGATATAAATCCTCTTAGGATTTGCTTTAATAAGACAAACTCCTGTAATTCCTTTGTAATTACCATTGTTTATGTTAAAACCGTTAAGCCTAAATCTTTTTCTTTTAAATTGGGTTAAAAGTTAACAAAGTTGTGGTCTTTTATGTCAGCATATTTTTATTTTTTATAGGTAAACTTGATTGGGGTTTGCTAGACCAAATTCTGGATAAGTGACGTTTGGTTTATTAATACTTGAAGTGGAAAATACAGAAGGGTAGATACAGAAAAAACAGAAGGCAGAACAAATCTTGCCTTTTGCTTTACTTTTAATAAGAAACAATTTGGCCAATGTCCTTTGTCACTGGTTTTCAGGTTGTAATCATTTTGCTGTATGTTTATGTGTTTTTTTGAGCTCTTTTTATTTGTTTGCTTTTCAGAATTTTGAGGATTTTCCCCCTTGCTGTTTCATTTTAACTCATTTTGAGCCAACTCTTGCTACTCTGGGCTATTTGTAATAATGAGAAGTTGGAATAACTTGAAATATTCAGTAACTGTAAATCTGATTTCCAGAAGTATTTGTCAAGAACCCACAGCAATAAATACATTTTTATATCACAACAGTTACATACACATGAACCAAAATAATTTTGTTCAGTGGTACTCACTCTTATTTCTTGTTTTGCAATCTCACATTTTCTGTGCTATTCTTTTCTTCAATATTGATCCTGATCTACTGAATTGATTGCGTGAACCCTAGGATTGGGACCTGCACAGGGATCTACGAAGAGCATATTCCTAGCTGTTAGTGGTGATTTTTTTCTTTTAAAAGTACTTTCAGAAAAATTTCAAGGTTTGAGTTCTTTTTTCCTCCACTGACACATTCTTTTTTATTTTCTTTTATTGTTTCCTCTGTTGCCTTTTTTTAAAAAATAAAAATCCCATTATAGAAAAATTAACAAATATAGGCAAGCAAACTAGAACATAATCTTACCCACCAACCAGAGGCAAGTAGATTAACTCAGTGGTTCTCAGCTGGGGTGGGGGATGAGGCAGTTGTACCTCCTCAGGCGACATTGGGCAATGTCTGGGCACAGTTTTAATTGTCACAACTGGCAGTGGGGTGCTACTGGCATCTGGTAGGTAAAGACCAAGGATGCTGCTAAACATCCAACAGTGCCCAGGACAGCCCTCCCAGAACAAGGAATTATCCAGCCTCAAGTGTCAATAATGCCAGGTACAGAAACCCTGGTTTAATTTAACACCATGGAATATGTAAAGATTCCATTTATAAATTCCATTTACATTTATAGACTGCTACATCTTTTCAACTTAGTGTATTGTCCAGAGTATAAATGACTGGCTGAAAATGAATCAAAAGTAGGAGGGGGAAAAAACCTAAAAGTTGTGAAAGAAGGACAAATATGCTTAAGAACACATAAATGCCTATAAAAATCACCTCTCTGATTCACCAAAATTACCTTTACTTGATAACCAGTGCCTGGGGAGATAATCTATGGTTGACTTTAGCACCTAACCCACAGCAAAGCTTGTGGGATGTCACTAGATAATTTATTTTCTTCAACAACAACCAAATCTGTTAATGTCTATTAAGGTAATTGAGTTTTTACCTGGAAACAGAATTGAGTATACCATGCAGGCAGTTAGAACGCTTTTGAATTCTCTGCTGATTTCCCCATCTGCCTTAGGGATTTGATGATTCCTTACAGGAAGAGTAGTTTAAATCACCAGAATTTACAATATATAGACTTGTATTATACATATAGGCTTTATTTTTGTTCTTTTGTACCCTGTTAGCCTTAAATAATCTACATAGCAAAGATATTTAGAGTTTGAATATTTGGAATTCAAATATTTGGAATTCAGTGATTCCAAGAAATCTTTTATATTTGGAAAACCCTGATTAAGTTTAGGGCATTTCAGGTTATGATCCAAATGGAAGACCAAGGCAAATACAATACAGTTACCCTAAAATATGCTTAAAACTATTTCTTTACAGTCTAAAGTTATATTTGCTAAGTTATTCTGATATCTTTTACTTAAAAAATACAATTAACTTCCACAGAAAGTAATTTGTCCTTAGTGTTTTATCACTAATGGGTTGTAAAGCAGGGCTTATAAGATGTAGTTATCCCCATCATTATTTTTAAGACAAGTTTATAAGACAAATGTAATAGAAATAGATCAACAGCACAATAGAAAAAGACAGCAGCACATATGAATAAGTATTTCACAGATGAAAGAAAAAAGGGGTTTTACTAAGGGAATGTAAATTAAAATATCAGTTAGATCTTTGGTTTGTTTCTTGAATTGGCAAAGATGAGAGACCCTCTTGTTTGCTGCTTGTGAGCACTTGAACTTGTATTCCATTTTGGAGGATTAGTTTGGCAATATCTATTAGCCATTAAATGTGTACACCTTTTGACTCATCAGTGACACTTTGACCCACCAGAAATACACGAACGTCCCAAGACACACATGGTGCTCAGTATAATCTTAAGCCATTGGAAACTTACCCAACGTCCATCAATGAGAAATAGGTTAAGAAAATTACAGTACAGCCATACATGAAGCCGTTACCTGGCTGTGAAAGAGCTGAGATCAATTTCTATATGATACGGAAAGATACTCAAGGATATCAAGTGAGAAAAGATCTAGGAGCAGGATATTATTACCTCTGAAAATGTTTGAGGTCCGCCCTCCTTTCTAAAAGTGTAAAACAAACATTATTATAAGTATATTTAAGTGTATTAAGTATAACAATTTTTTAAATTTATAAATTTTTTTAAAATGACAAAATGCTGCTGTGTGAATGGAAGAGTATACATTGTGTTGCTCCACTAGGTGAAACGAGTAGAATTTGCTAGAAAAGTTTCAGCATGTAAAGTGAAGCACTTATGTGCTCTCGGCCATTTTAGACACTAACCATCTGGAGCAACCATGTTGTTCTTGCCACTCATTGCTAACTTAGTATAAAAAAATCACTCAGCTTTCCTAGTGCCTCACAATTGCTTGTGAAATAAGACTGACACCATGAGCCCTGTCATCTAAAAGGTACTTTATAAATAGCTTTCAGTTCTTCTCTCTTTATTCATTGCTAAAAATAGATCTTAGTGAGTTTGGATACTCTCCAGCCCTTTGGTCTTTAGCACAAGGCAAGTGGTTCCAGTGTTGAGAGTAAGGACTTTGCCACAGAATTCAGTGGGGGGCAATCAAAAGGACCATTGTATTCTAGAGCACTAAGGACAAAGGATACCACTTTATAGTGTGGGGAACAAGTGAAGCACCTTTACAAGAAAAACTAGAGTACAGCAGTAACTTCAAATTACACTTACTTATATTCACTTTTCATTAAATGTAAATTATTTCCTCTTTGACCACATTGTGTACTAGAAAGAGAAAATCAGGAGACTAGGTTTTTAATTTTGGATGCAATACCACTAGTTTACTTAAGCCTCCAGATAAATGCTAGCTTACCAGTTTTCATTATAGTTTCCCAGATCGTTTTACTTTTGAGTCATCAGTGTAGTGTGGTGAATATCTGGGAATTTTTAAGGTAATGGGGTTTGTCTTTTCTTAGGGACGTAGGTGGTTTTGAGAACAGGTGTAGTTTAATTCCTCTTTGCTGTGTTTCGTTGTTATCCTGCACTTCCCACCACATCTCGTCCTTTTTGTAGGGGATTGAGAAAAAGATTATTCTTAGTATGGAGGAAAGTTGAGCACACATGTATACTAAGGAAAAGGAGCTAATGCAGAGAGCAGTGAAAAACAGGAATATAGAATCAAAGGAAAAGTATATTGCGAGGTGAATGGGAATGGAATCAAGAGCATTGCTCTTGGGCAAGATGAGTCTTCCTCCTTCGTCACGAGGAGCTAAGGGGGTAAAGCTGTAGATTTTTGTTCTCCTGAGTTGGATGAATGACATTGAGAAAGTCGTCGTTTTCTTGGCTTTGAGAAACATCATCTAGAGGAGAGCTGCTGGGGATTGAGGAGAAAGAGAAGAGGTAGAAAACTTGAGGAAAATGTTGAGGGTTTGGGGAGCAAATCAGTGATGAGCAAAAGGATTGCCCAGGACTGAAGGCCCATTTCAGATTAGAAAGAATACATGTCTAATCTTTATTCCAAAAATAGGTCTCCACTGAATCTGTACTAAGGGCAGCTTGTGGTTTGTATTTGTAGAATACAGCTGGATTAAAAATGTTTTTCTGTTTTCACTCTGGCCTTTATTCTCACAGAATCTAAATCACTGATGTTTTGTTTGGTGTGTTAAGAAACTCCGTCTGCTGGCTAGTCTAATTCTGCACAGGGCCCCTTGTGTGTTAGGACAGACTTGACTCACCTTCCCTGAATCTCGATTAATATAATTATTCCATGACTCATAAGATGTCCTGTGGTGATATGAGGGCCCAGAATAGTGGAGTTATATATAATGCACTGTAATATTTCCTTTGTATGTAAGGGAAAAAATAACTTGGTTAATTATGGGCATATCATTTAGCTAAAAATCAACCTTAAATGTTAAGTGGTCGTTAAGGCATTTATTTACAGCACATATTTTTCAAACCCTAGCAGTCTAAACTAGGAAACTAAAACATGTTATAGCAACTTAAAAGTGGTAAAAGAATACATTTATTTTTGTGCATTTTAGCATTTCTTTTCTTCTTGAAGGATGTTTTTCCAGTAAAGAGAGTTTTCTCCCTGTGAAGAATCTTCTTCACAATTGATAGACGCTAATTTCTTGTTTAAGTACAGTAATATGGATCATTGGCTGTAAAGAATGGTTTGGCTTATCATCAACCCTTCCCTTTCCTAAAGGTAGTCAGAGGTCTGCCAGAAATGCCTGGGTGGCCACATTTGAGAATTGTTCCTATAGAAGTGTTGGTTCTCTTTCATGCTAAGTCTCCTGGGGGGACAAACGCTCTGGACTCAACCCTACTTGGGAAACTACCTTTCTCTTTTCTTTTAATGGGCATAAGCTCTCCATGGTTGGTTTTTTACATGGTGTGATATAAAATTAAGAGAAAACAAAAAGATTAAAAGATATAAAGGCTTAAAGAACTGGTGTTATTTAGGTGAAAGGTTGACAGACTTAAACTTTTCTTGTTCTCTCTCCAGAAAACAGAGAATATGTATCATAGCAGGAGTTTCATTGGATGTAAAAAAAGCATACTGGAGTACTGACATGCATCAGAATGTAGTAGGATATATGAATTCAGTTTGTAATAGAATGTCAAGTTTGTTATTTATATTTTAACATCTGAAAAGTCTAATTACATTAAATCCCAAGGGATATTCTCAATTATTTCATTTAATTGGTATTTTCATAAAGAATTTTGCTCTGATAATGCTCCATCATTGGGGCTTATAATTTATTTTTTTACACAGAGAATATTGAAATAGGTTCAGAGATTCATTAACAGAAAGTATTATTAAATATTGTGAATCACCAATGCCATTGATACAGAAATAGAATTCCTCTAGGAAAATGAGGAATTTCTATATGAAAATGATGCATTTGGGGGTTTAATTTATTATTAATATTATTACCGTAACATGTTGCTTCATTCCACTATAACCTATTCTGAGTGGGGAAAAAGGGCATCTTTCCCTTTAAATGTTTAGGAATTATCTGAGGATTAAAATTTAACTGGCTTTTCTCCTCAGATTTTGTATTTACTGGTTATTATATAAGGGATCTGTTACATATTTTATTGGAACAGTTTATATGACTTTGTGGCCTAACATTTCAAAGTGCCAAAATGAATAATTATTAAAATTGAAGAAATTTTAAAAGCACTCAAATAAGCAGTTTTAAACTTTTTGAGTCACAAGCCTTTTGGCGGGGGTTTTATTCCCTTCAAGAGTCTGAAGCGCCATGGGCCCTCTTCTCAGGAAGATCGGGACACAATTTTGCCTCTGGTTCCAGGGGGTTCTTGGAGTCCCTAGAAATCCGTCTCTGGACACTCTGGGTCCATTTCAAACCTCCCCTCAGGTTATCTCAGTGATGTGAGAAGCATCTTTTCAGATCCCTTTGCAGGCGTAGGCATTTAACAAATCTGTTTGGAGAGTTCTTTAAAGTCTGTCTTGAGCATTGTTTAAAAAGAAATATCCTTAGTCTCAAAGGCATAGTCTTTGAGTTTTCTTTATTCTTTTTTTTTTTTTTAAGCTAAGTGGACTGTGAAAAACTCCATTGCTGCTTTTAAAATACCAAATGGGTGACTACTTTTCAGCTTTTTCTTGGGAAAAATTTTCCTCTAGGATCTGTAAGAGAGTTTATGGTCACCTTAGGATGCAGTGATTTTCATTAAGGGATTCGATTCCTTTACTTCGTGTAATACAATCCTGATGAACACTGGCGGGAGGGAGTATTCTCATTGAATTTTCAGTTAGCTCAGTATTGACCAGATGACTTACACTGAAAATCTTTTCAGTGCGTGATTAGTAAATACAGTGCTGTAGGATTTTGTAGGACATAGGTCCTCATTTGATTACCATTATATACAGTAAAGTTATAAGAGATGAATCTCAACTCCTGGGCATTGTTTAGAAGCTAAATATTCAGCCAGAAACCAAAGAACAAAAACGAAAATTTAAGTTTTCTTTACTGTGCACTAAACATTCTAAAAATCTGGTTGTGTCTGTGTCACTTTGTATACTGTGTGTAAGAATATATGCATTTCTTTTGTAGCCACGTCATGAATATTTTAATGTCCCTGTGTACTAAATGACTACTCATCGTGTATGCAGAATTTCACAGAGGAAATAGAGAGCTGATATACTTATGAAAGAAAATATCCTCAGCTTGGTGACTGGTTATCTTATATAATAATAGAATATTTCAGAACCAATACCTTTACAATTGTAATGTTTTTCCTGTTCTTATTCCTCTTTTCTGTTTTATTTTCATTCTGTGTGATGTTGATATAGCTTATTCCTGCTTGCAACTGTTTTAATTTCTTCTTGAAAAAATATGACCTATGAGTGTTTTGAGTAATATTTCTTCTTAAACACATACATGTCATCATCTATGAACCATCTGTGATTAATCTTGTAAGAGGAAAACCTAGCAATTGTTAAAATGTTTACCAAAGAAAATATAGCTGAAATGCTAGCTCGAAGTAAGCAGTGCCATAATAATAGTGTGGTTTGGTCTTCAATTGTTGGGAAAAAACCCAAACTATATTTATTTAGTGTGATTATATTATAGTCTATATGACCTAATATGTTCTAATGTATCACATAAGTTTATTTGGCAATAATACAAGAAAGTAAAATCTGTACTATTATATAATATTTAAGGTAAAACATTCACAGTTTGAAGAAATTCGTAATGCCACATTTATTGAATCACATTTGTGCTATATAGTATTGAACATTCCCCTTTAAGAACGATTAGAAAGCTATGTCAGAAGTCTCTTCAATATCTATTGTTCAATAGTAAGTAACTCTTTCAAAGTATTGATACTGAGTTTATTTATATAGTTAAAATCTTAATATTCAGTTTAAATACCAATACTTTACTAGTTATGATTTTATGTTAAGTCTTCATTAAATACTTAATGATTTGTTAGCTATGGTTTTATATTTCTGACTATTAAAACCTTTAATATTGATCATTATTGTGTATACTTTTAATAAAACATGCAACATATTTTATAAAAGGAAAAGTACCAAGTAATTCATTGTTTATATCTAGAGAGTTTAAAGCCTGAGTTAAGTAGGCTATCGTTAAACAATGAATTCAGAAGACGGTCAAACTGGTTTACCAGTGAAGGAAGACCATGGAAATGTGTATTAGGCAGCTGTGCAGATCAGTTACTTGCATTCTGACCATTCTCACTGTACGACATGACATGTGAAGCACCTGGCTGGGCTATCAAATGAGAAATTTAGCATTATACATCGAAAGGACTGGGGAACATTGGTCTTTCATTTCCATTTTTTTCCCTCCATCCCTCCCCTCGCCCTGCAGTATGTTATTCATCTGATTTTAATGGTGCATAAATATGCACTGTCTCATGCCTGTTTGCTTTGGATGCCTGTGCTGAGCTGTAACAAGATGTTGCTTCTTTTGTTATCTGTATAACAGCTGCTTGCTTTAAATTAGTAGATTCTGAAATAGCTTTCCTTGCATGTCTAAAATAAAAGTATTGCATGTACTTTGTCTCATGTGAATGACTGTTTCTTCTCCATCGCTTTTGATAATGTATTTTATATTTTAGTTTTTTTAATCGTGGTAAAAACACGTAGCGGAGTTTACCAGCTTAACCATTTTGAAGTGTGCAGTTCAGTAGCGCTGAGTGTGTTCACGCTGTTGCGCAGCAGACCTCCAGAAGTTGTTCATCTTGCAAAACTGAAACTCTGTGCCCATCCAACAACTGCTCCCATTCCCCTTCCCCTCCGCCCTTGGTCACCACCATTCTGCTTCCTGTTTCTGTGAGTTTGACTGCTTTAGACAATAGGTTTTCTAGGGAATTTGAGCTAGAATTTCAGTGTGAACATGTCAAAATTACGTTTTATATTATAAACACAATTTGTAAAAAAAAACTAATGTACTATTTGTACAAGTCTCAAAGGAATAAAATGTGAAATGATTCTTTGAAACTAGGCTTTTTAGAAAGTACAAATATTTTAAATAATGCACATTTGATAAACAACATGGTTCTCTTCAAGAAATGCTATATAAGACTGCGAGCAGTGAGCACATACAGGAGATCCGACTAGCTCCAGGGGATAGGATGGGGAGCATTTTTACAGGCATAAGCTAATAAAGAACGTTAACTGCATAGGGTTCAATGTAGACATCCTTTAATAAATACATTAAAGGTTGTAGGATGTTTTTAAAAATTAACGTCAAATGAAAATGATTATTTTTAAATTGTTTCCTTTAGTATCTATGTGATTCAGATGTCAGTCTTTCAGTATGTTTAATCCTTAAAGCTAAACATTATAAACGGAAGAGATTGTCTTACATCACCCCTGGGAGTGCTGCATCATTTCCATTAGACTTTCTTTAAAAACTATATCATGAAAACTCTAAGATATGCAAATAGAGTATAAGGAACCCTCATGTACACATCACTCAGCTTCAACAACCATCAACTCAGTACTCTGAACACTAACTCGTTTCATCAACCATCCCCCTCCCATTTTTGCCTCAGTATTTTGGAGCAGGCCCTAGACATCCTATCATTTCATCTTTAACACTTCAGTA